GCGCTGTGCTATGCACGCGTGGCGGCGGACGCGGCGCCCTCGCAGGGGCCCGCGGCGGCGCTGTCGACGGTCCAGCTTGAGCTGTGCCCTGGCGAGTTTGGGCAGCTGCTTGCCTCCCAGGTGTTCTGCTTCAAGAGCGGCGCGGAGGGCGAGGCCGCGCCCTCCGCGGCGGCGGGCGCCGGCGGCTCAGCGCCAGCGGCGCCTCCGCCGCAGCCCGGCAGCGACGACGCCGCGCGTCAAAACGGCGACGGCGGCGAGGAGCCCGCAGAGCCTGCCGGCGGCGTGGGGCCGTCCCAGCTGGTGGGGGCAGTGCGCAACATGCTGGCGGCAGCGGGTATGCCGCTGGACCTCGAGCGGGAGGCGCTCCTGCAAAAGGCGCTGGCCGCGGAGAGGGACGCGGCCGCCGCGCGCGCCGCGCTGTCCGCCGCGCGCCTGGAGGCGGAGGAGGGGCGCAAGCGTGCCGACGAGCTGCAGGCGGCGTGGCAGTGCCGCGTGTGCTTCAGCGCAGAGTGCGACGCCGCGTTCGTCGCGTGCGGGCACACGTTCTGCCGTGGGTGTGTGTCTAACTTGGCGCGCTGCCCTGTGTGCCGCAAGGCCAGTCAGCGCGTGCGACTTTACAAGTGAAGGCTGCCGGGTGTCGCTGGGCAATGCAGGGGCATGCATTCGCTGTGCACAGCAATCATCGCAGGGTTTTGCATCTGGCAGGATGGCTTTTGTCCGTGCGAGTCAGCTTTGTGGATCAGGTGTTGATTGTTTTGTGTGATGTCAGGCAGGCAACGCCTCGCACATAAATGCGCCTGCTGATCGCCCCCATCGACTTTTCTGGGACGGGGCAGGAGGCTCATGTGGCATGCCCCGCGCTCTGCATGATTGTGTGCTGACGGCGCCTCTTGAATGCTACCCAAGCTCCCTGTGCTTCATTCCACCTACCTTGCATTCGTCCCCAGTGTCCGCATTTGTATTAGTGCTCTGGCCTGCCTTGAAGGGCCAAGGACACAGCATCAGTTCCGCGTCCGGGCATCCCCTGCCCTACAGCTGGTGGTGGTGTGGGCGCTGGTGCATTGAGAGCAATGCAGGCGGGTTGTACTGAGTACATGTGTGGCAGCTGCGCGTCTGTTTACAGGCTACTGCTTCATGAACCCTCGCTCTCATGTGACAGCACGACCATCAGCCAGGCCTGGTGCACGCATTTGGGTCCCATCGCGGTATTTCCTCCTGATTTTAGATAAAAATTCAGCCCCCTGCCGAGGATCTGTGTGCCCTAAACCCTAACCCCTGCAGCAAATAAGTAGAGCTACTCGTACGGCCACCCTTGCCAGGGTCCTGACCCCCCCCCCTGACCTTGCCCTGGCAGTGCCCCACCAACGTCAATGCTCGGGCAGCAGGCGCAGCTGCAGCAGCCAGGAGCTGCAGCAAGCACTGCCTCAGTGACACTGGCAGTATCCAGCATGAACCATAGCAAAGCCTCTGCTGCGACGAGTGATGCTCGCGGGAGCTCCCCTGGTGGTAGCGGCGAGGCCAGTCCCGGTGCGAGCATCGGCAACAGTGCAGGCTCCAGCAGTCGAAACAGCAATAGCATGCACAGTAGCGGCAGCAGCAGAGGGCATCATCATAGCACCAGCAGAAGCCGCACCAGCAGCTGGGTTTGCTTTGACTGCACGCACGACAACACACAGTCACCAACACAGGCACTGGCGTGGCTGCACCTAGTTCGATGCCCATCAACCTTCCCAGCACACCTGCAAAGCCCTGTCCATCCTTTCCATGCGGGCCCAAATTTTGTGCAGCCGTCATGCTTCTAGTGCGCAGGCGTCGCGACATGTGCCGCGGCGGCTGCGGCGGGACTGGCCGTTAGCGGACAGCCACTGCACACCCGGTGGGCCATCAGGATTTGAATCTTGGTGGCCACAGCACCGCGCCGCCCTCAAATGATAGGCGGTAAAATGATCTTAACAAACCTTACTAAAACCTTTCCTTGCGCGCTCGGCCAGCAACACACCGCACGCGCGACGGAGATCGGTCGTACGTACGCACAGTCAAATCGCCATCAGGCTTCAAATTTCTGGAAGAATTTTTAGATCCATCATTACACACCATTCTACTCACACACCCCTAAACTCACCTTCGGCAGGCCCACCACACACCCCGCGGTCCGCCTTGGCTGTCCGCCTTGCCCTTGGGACTTAGAGATGCAAAATCACGCTTTCATCGCGTTACCTGGATCGCGCACCGGTGTCTTGCTGCGGTCGTGCACTTCCGCGCGCCGTGTGTCTGCGGTGTGCCGTGCCGCCGCCACTGATCGCGTCAAGCTGGGGACCTCTGACCTGGAGGTGCGAGCCTGCACTCACGAACATTTCATTCTGTAATGCCTGCCAATAAATCCGCATGCCCAGACATGTTGCTGGTTCAAAAGCTGCTCTGTTGCCCCGGGCGGTCCCATCCAGGAGCATCGCCAGCCCCCTTGCACCCTCCCCCCCAAACTCCTGTGCCACATGACATGTGCGACCCCACGTCTGCTCGTGGCCATGTCGCCCCAGGTGTCCACCTGTTGCCTGGGTACGATGACGTGGGGGAATCAGAACACAGAGGCGGAGGCGCATGAGCAGCTGAGCTACGCCTTTGATGCCGGCCTCAACTTCCTTGACACCGCCGGTGGGTACTGGCCAGATCATGCACAAAGCCTAGCAGTGGGCTATCTGCTCACAAAGGAGGCGGTGGCTGAGCCAAGACACAGCAATCAATGCTTGTATTTCTTACTTGCCGGCCTATATTGCAGCCTGTGATGTTGGGGCCAGCCAGCCACAGGCATTTGTTACCTGAAGGTCCAAAGACACCACAAGCCAGTCCACATCGCTTCAGCTCCCTCAACCGCGTCACCACCCCCCAGAGATGTACCCAGTACCCCCTGTCAAGGAGACCCAGGGTCGCACAGACCAGTACATTGGCAGCTGGCTCAAGACTGGGCGCATCAAGAGAGAGGACGTGGTCATAGCCACCAAGGTGAGCTTGAATCCAAATATGTGTTTGTGTGTGTGCATGTGCACACCCGTTGTGTGTGTATGTGTGTGTGCATGTGCAAATGCGTAGTGTGTGTGTGGGCATGTCCATGTGTTTTCACGAGTACGTTTGCATGAATTTGCGTGTGAGTGAATGCGTGAGCGTAATGTATGGCCCCTGATAAACTTTCAGTTCGTTTGTGTGCGTTCAGGCTTCTCTGCTTTGAAGTTTGCAGGAGCAGACAGCAGCCGCCAACCCAAAGCGCACAATCCAGGGCAGCTGCGTGCCCACGTTGTCACACATACAAGCGCCATGTCCCGCAAATTCAAAACAGATCAGCGGGTACAGTGTTCTTCAGACCTACTTGCGCAACCCTCCCGAGACGACGCGCATCACCAAGGCCCAGATCAAGGCCAGCGTTGACGCGTCTTTGAAGCGGCTGGGGGTTGACCACGTTGACCTGCTGCAGATCCACTGGTACGAAGGGGTGGCGCGTTTGCACGAGCATGTGTGTGTGTGTGTGTGTGTGTGGGCACGAATGCTTGCATAGACACTGTGTAAGTCTATAATCTACGTCCTATGTAAGTGCTTGCCAACGTGTGTGTCCATCAGTAGGCGATGGAAATTTGCATAATCTACGTCCTATGTAAGTGCTTGCCAACGTGTGTGTCCATCAGTAGGCAATGGAAATTTGCATATCAAACTGAACAGCGCCCTCTGACACCTCACCCGCTTTCCTGCAGGCCCGATCGCTACGTGACGCTGTTTGGTGCCTCCAGCTATGATGTAGCCAAAGTGAGCCTGCAGCATTGGTGTTGGCTCTGCGAACTAGCAGCTTTGCGAGGATCATGGGCGCGGCTTTGTGATGGTTGCGAGAAAACAAGCGCGCACGAATGGTGGGCGGCACACATGGTACCGCGCACATTTCCAGCCCGGCGTGCACAATTTGCGCAGTTGTGCACATTAGCGCTGCCGATGTTGTGTGTCCGGCACGCATGTCCGCACACCCCCATTTCCGCCCTCGTCACATGCTTGCTTCAACGACGTCTCCCCCACTCTGGCTTCCTCATATCAAACGTGGCTGTCTCTGCCCCCGTTGCCGTCGCTGCAACCATGACCGTCGCCGCCACCGCCAGGAGCGCGAGGTGGACATCTCGTTTGAGGAGCAGCTCAGGGGCCTTGACGACGTGGTCAAGGCCGGAAAGGTGAGGGGGCGTTGGGAGGAATGAGACCACGGCTACGTGATGCCTGCTGTTCTGTGTGTTGTGACACACCATATGCTCAGTGTGTCCCAACACATGCCGTTTGCGGTTGGGTCAACTCCCTTGCAGAGCTAGAGGCCCCTTTGTGACTGTTAACCCTTGCATCCCAGCCCGCCATGCCACCCATATCCCCATCTTCCCGCACCAACCACCTCCCTCCCCCTCCCCAAGGTGCGCTACGTGGGCGTGTCCAACGAGACCAGCTACGGCGTGTCAGAGTTCGCCTGGGCTGCCAAGACGCTGGGGCTGCCCAAGATTCAGACTATCCAGGTGTGAGATTGGGAAGGGGGCCACGGACTGGAACGAGGAGGGGCAAGGCACGCAGGGGGACGTCTTGAGTGGTGTGCGCGGCAGTGTTGGCCATTTCAGGGCGGCTGCGTGTGCTTTTGTGGGCGATTGGCGGCATGCAGCCGCATGTATGGGGTGGGGGTCAATGTGGCGCCCCCTTGCGCTAGAGTTTGACGGTCGCCCAATGCTATGCTGCACCACAGCAAGCAAGCAGACCAGCAGACACTTGATGCAAGTAGGCTGTGGGCGTAAACACTCCCCAGCCACCCTCATCCAAGCGATGATCGTTGGTTGGCACCAGTGAGCGACGTGTGTGCAACCCAGAGCCAACTGTGCTGCACTCGGTGTCATGCAGAACTGCTACCACCTGCTGTACCGCACGGGGTATGAGACCAACCTGGCAGAGACCTGCAGGTGGGTGGCTTGTGCGGGGAAAAGGAGAGGCTGGAGAGGCTGGCTTTGATTGCCGGTGGGAGGTGGTTGAAGATACGGGCCGGGCGGGGATGCGGGGCGGTGGGAGGGCGGGCACAGTTGTAGACATGACAGCATACTGCATGATGCAGCAGACCTGAAGGTGACGTGGGGCTGGCACAAAATGCGCTGGCGTCCTGGACGCATGATGCGCTTCTTGACCTTACACACAGTCCTCGATCTCTCTGGCTTCCTCCCTGAAGAGCCCGTCCCCTGCCTACCACCCGCCGCCCACCGGCTACCACTGCCACGAGCTGCACAGGCGCCACGACGTGAGCCTGCTCGCCTTCAGCCCGCTGGCGGGTGGTGCGCTCACTGGCAAGTACCTCAACGGGGACGCGCCCAAGAACGCACGCTTCAATCTCTTTCCCGGGTGCGCGGGGATTTAGGGTACGGTCTGCATCAGGGTGCCACCTCGCAGCAGCAGGGGACGCATCGACACTGGTACAGAGGGAGGTGCGTCACAACGTGTGCCTTGAAGGGAGGCACCGTCGGTGAGTCGAATCTTGCTGAGGGTGTTGTCAAGTCATCCTCGTCATCCTTGACGGGGATACAATACAAAAGCATGACGTGGCCCTCCAACAGCAGCGACTCATCAATTCAAGCAAAACACGCCCGCCTGCCTGCCGGCAGGTACATGGAGCGCTACTACCAGACCCAGGCCAAGACCGCCACCCAAGAGTACGTTGAGCTGGCCAAGAAGCACGGCCTCACGCCCACGCAGCTGGCCCTGGCCTGGTGCCGCTCACGCTGGTACGCGCTGTGGTTAAAGGGGCGTCAATATCTTTGCACGCCACAGCCGGAGTGTTGCGAGCGGACTTTTCAGGTGCTGGTGCGTGCGCGGGCAGTGCCAAATTCGTACAGGGAGGGCCAAGGGGGCTGCAGCCTGCCCCCTACTGCGCCATCCACCCCCCCCAACCCCACCCTCTAGGTTTGTGAGGTCGACCATCATCGGCGCCACCAGCCTGCCCCAGCTGAAGGAGAACCTGGATGCCTTCAGCGTGGAGCTCTCGCCAGAGGTGAGGTCGGCCCGCGCGGCAGCCTGCCAGGGGTGGCGGTGGGGCAGCCCGTGACTGGCCCGGGTTGGGTGTGGGGCGCAAGCTCCAGAGGCCTTGACCGTGGCGCGCATCATCACTGGTCACAGCTCTCGCTTCAATGATAACTGCTCAGGGCCCTCCTGTGAAACCCCCCTGCACAAACTGTCACTGGTGTGTTGCCAGTAACCAAGCTTTGCTGTCTCTGCCACAATTGTCTGAATCACGGCTCCACAGGTCATTGAGGGCATCAGCCAGGTGTACAAGAAGTACAGGTGGGCGAGAGTCACACCCGGGGTTATGAAACGTGCGTAATCAGCGGCTCAAATTCATCCAAGATGGTGCCCTGAATGCTGTTACTCGGCTGTCACCAAGCACGTAACTGCACACTACGCCTCTTGCTCCCATCCACAAACGAACAGGGACCCTAACGCCATTGCTTAATGCAGCGCCAGGCACGAGGTGGCAGAGCGAGGTCAAAAAAAGTCAAGCACACATCGGACACCCCGTGACGGCAACCATCGTCACTAACGTAGTTGAACTACGTAACAGTGGATTTCATGCCGTCTGAATATCAGTCGATGTATAGAAGTCGTATCCTTCGTGGACCCACGCATCGTACTGGAGTACTATAAATCCAGGGATGCCAGGTGTGCTCGTGCTGACATTTTGATCTCAAAGATCTCATGTCTCACAATGAGTAAAATCATGATAAAATCACCATATGAAACATGGGTTGTTGAGATTCCGTGCGCTGTCGTGCGGTGCCGTGCGGTATTGTGCGGTGCTGTGCGGTGTATGAGGAGGCTACAGCGATATCAAAAAGCGACTTTGAGATGATGCGATACCGTTCAGCTGCACGATCTACCGGTAGACATGATTGATCTTGAGTGAAATGATGAAAGTGAATGATGCGGCTTTTCTGCGTTCGCTGCTCAAGGTGGCCGCTCTGCAAGCATACGGTACATCTGCATCTACACCTGTAAAACAGCCTGTCAGCGGCTTGGCACTTATCATAGCACTGCGCATCGTTGACTGCCGTGTGCATGCACAAGCGACGGCTGGTCTACTGAGTCTGTGGCGCTCTCACTGCGATGCGCCATGCCTAAGGCTGAATACCACCTTTGAGCAATACAAGCCGCTCTGGGACTACATCACAGCATCACAGGTCTTGTTTGAGCCTGATCGCATGCCCAGCGGTCTGCAGCGCTGGCCAGACCGCCGACCAAGCTGCCCAGCGTTACCAGCTGCATAGTAAGCTCTAGTAAAGCTACCCTGTTTGTCAACAGGAGTGTCAAAAAAAGCGTGCAAAAATCTAGCATGACGGTTGCAAAGAACGACAGCCGAAACTCTTTCATCGAACGCGCCCTGTGTGTGTTCTCACCGTCTACCTCCACCTCCGACCACCTCTGCAACCACCCGCTTTGCAAACTCCTTTGCGATGGCTCTCTCACCCTCGAAAAACAGCGGCTGGGGCGCCAGCTGCCAAATTGCAACATTCGCGTAGGGGTGGTCATCATCCAACACTTCACGGCGGCGGCCGCCGCCGCCGCTGCTGCTGCTGATCGTGCCGCCGCTGCTGCCGTCGCCAGCGTGTGTTTTTCTGCTGCTGGGGTCGCTGCCGTCGTTGCTGCCGCTGGTGCTCGCACCTGCACTGGCCTCATCGCCGCCACCAGTGCTGCCGCGCCCTTCACTTCCTTGAACCAGGACATTGTTGTCCCCGCTACTGCGCGTTGTGCCAGCGCTTGGTGCCACTTGCTGCTGCTGCAGCTGTGCCAGCTGCTGTTTGAGCTTGAGAAGTGCCTGAGTGCGGCAAGACAGGACCAGGCAGGGGGAAGGCGTGATGACCTTGGAAAGAATGGCCGAGTGACACGCAGTGTTTGGCGGCCTTAGAGCAACACTACGATCCAGCAGGGTCAGTGAGGGGTCCAACACAGCGCAAGCAGCCTATCAGCAAAAGCCTCACCTGCACGCCTGCCTGCACTTGAGGATGCTGATTAGTCAGCCCCGATTCCTTGAGAGCCCGCACCGCCTGCCCCTGCGCCTCCACTGCGGCCTCCATATCAGCCAGGCTCCCACTGCCGCTGAAGGATGCCCCTTCCTGGCCGCCACTGGCGCCGCCGCTGCTGCTGCTGCTGCCGTCGTCAGCGCCGTCATGAGTTTGTGACTGGTTTGGCCGGCTCGCCCCTGGCAGCGCCACTGGGTTGACGTCAAACGGTGTGTCGATAGCGCCGCGCTCGTCGGGCGGCAGCTGCCTGAGCCCCAGTCCCGCAGCCAGGTCGCAGCAGCGCGACACCACCTGGGCCGGGCAGACGTGGTGTGTCAATGAGCACAGTGCACAACAGTTGCGTGGGTTAAGTGTACGCGCAGCTAGGACCAGCCCCTGGCCAGAATAGCGGTATCAAAGTTCCCTGACTACCCTCGCTCATCAAGTGCGGGTGAGTGACAGCTGGCGCGTGCACATGCAGGGCGGCATGGATGTTGGTCAAGTGGAGCGCATCGTGGTCGCATGCCCACGCCGCGTCGTCCCACCCCCAGGGGGCCCCACCTCGTTGCACTCGACCAGCCTCAGGGGGGCCAGGTCGACAACCACAGTGTCCGGCCCGTGCCCTGTCCTGTCCTGCTCTATCACCACACACGGCAGGCCGCGCGCATCACAGAGCTGCCTGAACGTGTTGGGCAGCGGGTGGCCGTGGCGTGCGTGCGCCTTGCGGGCGCCAGTCCCGCGGACCGACAGGTAGCCCTGTGTGCGTGTGGGGAACGGGTGGGGGGGGGGGGCGGGGGGCAGGGGGGGGGCGTTCGGTTCATTGGTCGATGGGCATGGTGCGGCGCCCCAGAATCCCAAGAGCGGAACACCCAGCGATGCTGCAATAGTGCGCAAGCATTCCTTGCCACATTTCCAACAAGTGGCGTTCGCCATGGCATGAGGTCACAGATGAGCGAGGCGCATGGGGCAACTCACAGCTGCGCACAGCAACAGTGTGGCGCACCTTTTTCTTCGAGGCCTCGAAAATGGGCCGCTCATCGGCACTCAGGCGGTGGGGAATGTGGAAGCTGCCTGTTCCCCGCCGCTTGGCCCCCTCACCCCTGCCATGAGCATGCGCAGCGCAGGGCCACGGCAGCCGGTGCACAACAGTGAGGGCTGTTGTGCATCCCGATACGCGTTGTGGAGGGAGAAGGAGCAGCGCCCGGAGCAGCGGCAGCGACGGCAGCAGCAGCAACCGCAGCATCAGCAGAACTTTCCTAGGTTGCCCAGAATGTGCATGCACATGGCGGTCACCCTGCGGCCCACTTGCACCGCTCAAGCGCGTGGCTGCGCAACAGTTGTTGCCGCCTGCCATGCACACCTGCTGAGCCGATCCACATCGTCAATATGGGGTCGCCAAGGCTTAGCCATGGCCATCACGCTGCTGGTGCGCATGCGTCGCAAGACGTGTGCCGGCTGTGGCGGGGTGCGTGCACCACCAGCACTTGCAGCGC